AAACCACTTGACAAAGAAAAACAAGCAGGCATATTTATTTTCATCTAATTTTTTTTTTTTTATATCCCAAAATATTTGTTCAGAAAAGTGTTCGAAGAAATTATCCAAGAAAATAAAAATTTAAAAAAAAATAAAAAAAAAAATAATGGAAAAGTGTAGTTGGATCGTGACTGGTTTGAAGAAGAGTATTACGTTCAAATAAAAAAAACTAAAAGAACTTTCTTGTATGTTGATAAAAGTTATTACAAATAAAACAAAAAGAAAAAGGAAAGAAAGAAGAAGAACAGGTAAAACAACCTGACACACAAATTCCCTGAGGAATTCCCTGAGGAGTTTTGTTTCCTTTCTGAACGTTTGGAAGATTCTTTTCAAAAAAAATCAAAGATACATGTATAAATAATTTGATTCAGTGAAAAGATATAAAAAAAGGTTTCAAAAGTATATCAAACACGTGACCAAAGTACAAAAGTCATCTTTTAACATTTTTTTTTTTTTCATATTATTCAAACTACATTTAATTATATAACAAACATTTTTATTTAATATTCTCTCTAGTAAATAATTAAAGGATAAGTGAATTATTATGTTACATAGAATTAATTAACTTAACTTTTGATCTTAAATTACTTTACGAGAGATAAAACACTTTCAATCTTCCTGCGAAGAAACATGGAAATTATTATTAATAATTGTAACAAAGCACTGTATAACATTTCAAACGTGCTTAGATTTACTTGTCCTAAAACGGATACGTAAGTGATACATATATACATATATACATATATACATATACATTGAAGAAGATCATCCAATTGTTCAAGTTACATGGAATATTCACTTAATCTTGACTAATGATCCTTGAAAGAGCATTTACCAAGGACCCTAACAGACAAATGTGATTATCTTATTATAATTAATAATCTTACCAATAAATGTTCATTTGTCTTAATTAAAAACAATAAACAAATCTAACAACAACAACAACAACAAAACAAACCACAAAGATTTAAACGTCAGAAATAAAACAAAATAAAAAGAAGAATCACTAAACGTTTTGTTAATAAATAATCAATTAATCTTCATCAAGAACAATAAACAAATCTAAAAGCAACAACAACAAAAAAGAGACTGATATCAGAAATCACAAAAGGTTTTGATAAATCGTTCGTAAGATACAAATAAATCTCTGAAAGATTACACATAGCAGAAGGTTACAAGAAAACTTTGGGATTCCATTCCAAAAAAAAAAATAAAAAAAACAAAGTTTTCCCTCCTATATTTACGAGAATAAAAAAGAAAAAGAAAAGAAGAAATATTTTTAAGAGACTTATCAATTATCTGTTCTACATTAGTCTATTTTGTTGATTGATAACCAAGTAAACCAATAAATCAGACCACTCTATGTTGTTTTATCATCAATAGAGAAAAGAAGTTTCTTAAAAAGCTAAATAAAATCGATAAACACTTTTCTTGTATCTAATTTCAAACGATAAAGATCAATCCTCTAAAAAAAGAGAGAAAACAACAACAACAACAAAATAAATAAAATAAATAAAATAAAAAGGAAGAAGGAGAAACACAAAAGGAGGAGGAGGAGGAGGAGGGGTGGCGAGGGGTTGTGATCGAATTTTGATTAATCACCAACGTAAAACAACAAYAACGGTGTCGTACGTACGTAAATCAAACCAAAAAAAACTTCAGAAAATATACAAAGGTATCTTCTAAAAATATAAACAAACAAAATATTGTTAACAAATTGACAAATTGCAAAAAAAAAGAAAATCTTTAAAAAAATAATACTGCACACGACACAACCTACACGACGTTTAAAAAAAAAACACATTCCAGCACAATACCATCACCATCACCATCACCATCACCATCATCACCACCTTCGCATTATTTTCAATTCTATCAACATATCGCACGTAGATTACAGAAACAAGAGAAATTAATAATAAATGAAAAAAACGAAGAGATACGGTAGGATGATTAAAACTGAATAAACGACGGATTATTCTCTGTCTCACACTTCCTCAAACATAAATGCACGCATACGTTTACATAACATTTGCATTTTTAATCCTATTAACATATCATACGTGAAACTTACATAAATAAGAGAAAAAATAATAAATAAATAAAGAAAAAGTAAAAAAAAAAAAAACGAGAATATAAACTTAAATAAACTACTAACACTTTCTCTCTCTCTCTCTCTCTCTCTCTCGTTCTTTTTCATTCTCATTTGCTCACCAGGTATCCTTTTCACAATTAGAGACGAGTACAAATTTTCTCTCTGGGTGTATGCATATCTATACCTATATATATATATATATATGTGTGTGTGTGTATACATGTATATACAAACTGAAATTTATTTATGAAATATTATACATGAATTTTTAAGTGAATATNTGGACGAAAGTTTAATAATAAACTCGTTTTTAATGCAACAGAAAAAGAATGACAAAGCTTTTGACGTTTATTCCGGTCAAAACCTTTTTTCCCCTTTTGGGAAAATAAAAAAGAAAAAACAAAAAAAGGAAATGGGAAAAGAAAAACGTACACACATACGTATAAAAGAATTGCGTAGGCGTGTACAAGACGATAAGTATATATATAAAAAAAAGAAAAGAAAAGAAAAGAAAAAAAATACAGAAGAAAAATCCTAGAAGAGAAAAAAAAAAAAAAGGGAGCAACTTGACGAACAAAAGAATTTAGATTACATTTCACGGGATGTGAGGACAAGAGTGGGGAGTTGGGTGGCAAGGGGAGGGGATGGGAGGCAAAGGAGTGGGGATGGATACGATAACGTGATGCGAATGATTTATTTTTCTAAGGGCAATACACGTTCTTTTTTTTCTTCTTCCTATTTTTTTTTTTTTTTTATTATTATTATCGTTATGCTTGAAATTTATATCCTTTCGTTGAAATAATAATAATAAAAAAAAAAAAGAAAATAATAATAATAATAAGAATAAAAATAGGATAAGAAGAAAAGTTGACACATCCGAGGAACGTATAAAACAAACTACTAACATATTCACTATCCTGGAAAACAAATCGATCTAATATGTATATATGTATGTATGTATGTATGTATGTATGTATGAATGTATGTTTGTATGTATATAGGGATGGATGGATGTATGAATGTTCGTATGTATGTATGTATGGTGTACCTCCTTCTTTTCCTATATAGGGTGGAACTAAATAAAATAAATGAATGGTTGGTTGAGAAAGACAGACACACACACTGTCATAGTGAAATCCGACGTTATCGCAACCTTGCGTTATCGATCGTTTATGCTAGCGTATCAAGCTCGATATATTTTCCCTTTAACAATATATTCTACTGATAACGAGACATTATTTTTTCTTTTTTTACATATATTTTTCCCCACTTCTTTTTTACCCTTTTTTTCTTCTTTTATAACTGCTTGTCCGTATCATTACTTTAAAAGAAATATATATATATGTTATATATGTATATATCTTAACGAAGGAATGAATTCATTCTTTTTTATCTTTTAAAAAAAAAATATATATATACATGTATCTGTCATATATATATATATATATATATATTAAAACGAAGGAATGAATTCATCTTTTTTATATTTTTTTCAATTCTTTCTTTTTTTTTTTTTTTAAGTATAGATATCGTGTCAAAGAAATATATCAGTTTTCCCTAACCAATTGCAATTTCTATAATTGATGAGTGTGCATGTGTGTGTGTGTGTGTGCCTTTTATTCGATTAAATGCAACGATATCGATGCTCTAACCCCGATGCAATTCGTGTCATTTATGACGGAAAGGGATTAATAGATTTGACCCGATTTTAAAATCATCCTTAAGGGAACAGTTCGAAAAGTAATTTGGTATTTTAAAACAGATAAATTTGGTCAGAGTTTATATACCTGACACCACCCATATACAGACAGCAGACTGACAGAGACACATATATAAATTCTAAATCTTAATTCTAAACTATCAAATCATTTTATCATTCCAACAACGTACCATTTTCTAAGACACCAATGATTTATAACCCTTTCATTTGCTTTTACGTTTTAAATCGGTCAAAAGTAATTATTTTCTCTGGCATCATTTCAAACAAGTTTTAAATCAAAGTCTACAGTTTTATCAGACTATTTTTTAGGTTAGATTAACGACAGGATCAAAATTGATTTTAACAAGATGTTCTGATAGTTTTGAATTGATAAAATTTGAAAAATGTATAAACAAATTGATAAAAATTGTGTAAGAAAAATTATTAAACAATTGATATTATAATTAAAATAATAATTTATTGCAAAAAAATGAAAATAATATATCTATATATATAAAAATGTAGATTTCGTTTGTTCCTAACCTCTAATCTGCAAAAATACTATATCGATTGTTTTGAAACTTCAATACAACGTTGCATTTGCATACAACTAGATATTTATTACGTTAATTTATTTAGAAATATAATTAATTAATTTAAAAAAAAAATAAGAATAAGATACAAGGTAAGTCCAGTGTCATCTGTTGGTCATAGATTTCTATGAGTGCGTGAAACATTTGAACATAACCTAACTTTTATCTATACGCCAACGTCATATTTTGACTCATATGAGTCACAATAACAATTAGTAATTTTATCAAATAAATTTATCAAATTAAAATTCATTAAAAATGGCTGACATATTAAATACAAAAAAAAAAACAACGTATTACATTTGCCATTGAAAAAACAAATGCAATTACTTTTCGAACAACAAAACATGATAAAATAAAATTCACACATACACACCCATATATATTACGTTATTGTGTTATATTATTTATAACATATGAACTATAATTAATTTCTAATTTAATATTAAATGTACGTATAAGTTGATATTTAAAGATGAGAAAGTAGGGTTAGGAAAAATCGATATTTTAAAATCAACTTATTTGGATTCGAGATAATGCGATTATAAATATCATATTATATTTTTATACTCACCACTCGTGTGTATCAAGGTCATACTCGCCATAAAGTTGACCCATCGTTACGGCTTTTGGATTAAGCACGTACGTTAATACCGTTCTAAAGGGTTTCCCATTTGGTTGTAATTGTCCTTTTAAAGCTGTACAAGCGTCCTTTAAAACTTGATAACACTGAAAAAAAAAAAAAAAACAAAAAAAAACAAAAAATTAAAACATTTATTTAAAAAGAACAATTACAAAAAATAACTTAAACACAATTAACAGGATAATAAAAAAAAAAATTATATACGATATATTATTAAAAAAAATTAAAATAAAATAAAAAATTATATGTTAAATAATATAAAATGTAATAAAATTATTTTATTATATAAATTTTGAAATAAATTTTAAAATTATATATATAAAATTATAAAAAATAAAATAAAATAGTATTATATATATAAATATTATTAATTATTAAATTTACATTAATTATAATATTAAATTAATAATATAATAATTAAAAAATAATATATAAATTATTGTATTATATATACTATATTATTTATTATAATTTATAAATTAATTTATAAGATAAATTATTAATTGGTTTCTTCATCAACTCTTTTTTTCCCAATTTAAGGGGACCTTCTACTCTGCAATTTAAAAAAATTGCCGGTAATGGGCCGATAATAAATGCCGGTAATGGGCCGATAATAAATGCCGGTAATGGGCCGATAATAAATGCCGGTAA